GGGGGGGGCGCTTCCACGCCGTGGCTCCAGCCACTCCACGTACTTCGATTCGCCGCTGCACACTAACAATGTCACCAGTACATAGTTCTGGAGCGAATAGCCTGGCAAAGTTGTGTGTGTGTGTGTGTGTGGAGTGTGACGGTATTCCAGAAGCATCACTAACATAGAATCCTGCCCAGTCAACGTGCTCTCCAGCATTATTTTTGCTGTAAAAGTCTTTGGGCCTGCACTTTTGTCTGTCGTTGCATTCGCTTGATAAACACTATCAACAGCTATCACTGGCTGAAGATACCCAACGCGTCTAGCGAACATCAGCAGGCTGCAATCCCCGGTGAACAGCTCAGATCCTGACCTGATGTGATAGACTCACTATTGCAATGCGCATATCTAAACATCAGCTTCACAGATGGGGTTGTCCCCTATTGATGGCGGAGCTTTCTTTGCTTTTACTTCCTTTCTTGCTTGTACTTTTTTCTTGCTTTCCTTCTTTTCAGCCATCAGTCTCCCCGCCTCTTCCTAGATGGGACAGTTTAGATGCCGAGTGATGAAATCTCGCTGTGCTGGGCCATCAAAGAGTTTAGGTGAACATTTCAACGTGGCTAAGCGTACGAAGTAAACCCCGTACCGGGAATAAATGTTGCATCGAAGGCGCACGAAGGAGCAGCGTGCTGTTGAGGACGTTCGAAATATCTGAAAGTTGTTAAATGTGTCGGGAATCAAAACTTACGCGATACCCGTCTAAATCTCGCATTTGTATTTGCAACAACGACAGATCCCTGAGTATTTGCATATTATCGCTGTCGAGTCGCAATGCCTGCTTGTAAGCCTTCATCGCTTCATCGTACTTTTTCTCGCTACGCTGTACCAGGCCAAACACATGCCAACAGACGTGCGATCGAAGATCCGCCTGCAAGAAATATGCAGTACAATGTACCAATCAAGCAATAACACTCCTCTCCCCCACTTAAATTCCACTTCAGCAGGCTTGAGCCTTCCAAGAGACAGAGTTCACGGCAGTGATCCAAAGCTTTACGCTGGTCAAAGAATGATCTTTCGGCCAATTCTGCCTGCTTGAAAAAAAAAAAAACATCCCGTCACCCAAAGGAAATGCTTATAAGTTGCACCTCCCATATCAGTCTACGACGAATAATAACTCGTGATGCCGTAGGAGGTACTAAATACGAGTAAGAGCGCTCGAGTGGAATTATTTCCGTAAAAAATATTCACACCCATTTTACATCCTAAATGACAGCGCGCAACAGTTCTCACTCGCATTTCCTCCGTCCCATTTAACACAGAACAGATTCAGTGCTAGACAGCTCAGAGGGAATACGTGCTGGCAAAAATGAAGCTAAAACCTATGCACTTTTAGCGGAGCTGTACATTCAGCGAATTATCATTTTAAAGTTTACTGATAACTTATAGTTTTAAGAAGCGGATTTACCACTTCTCTACAAGTCAGCAAATTTATGCGATAAATTTTGCTTATTTTTGCTATCAGCTGCCCTTATTTGACTTTTTTCAAAGCAAAAAAGTCAGTAAGTATTAAACTATTCCCTTTTACAAAAGCGTACCATATGGCATCAGGACAAAAGCTCTATCCTCATTTTGGCTTTGAATATTTCATTATTTACCTACAGTTTGTTATCTTCCGTACAAATTTTTGATTTCATTTCACTGGGTTTTTTGACAGTGCTCTCTAGTCGGTGAGGTAGCACAGGCCTGCTCAGCGAACGTCAAGCGCATCCTGGCGCAGCTGTAATCTTCACGAACACTTCTATGGGGAAGCCGCTGAACGGTTAATCCCCGCAAGAGACACAAAATGGTCGCAAAGATCGCCAGCATGCTGATCACCAGATAAAGTAAGTGAGACGGCCACTAGCTGCACAGCTGGAGATTTCGGCTAATGTAATTATTCGGAGAAAAAAAAAATTCCAGGCACTGCTGAACAATAAAACTGAACTAGCCTTCAGGCCACGTTTGACACAATCCTGTGCTTCCTCGTGTTTTCCCATGCAGTTCAGTATCAGGCCTTTCATTGCCAGCGTTTCTAAACTGATTCCGAGCTGTGAGACGTGTAGAAAAAAAGCAGAAAAACAGAATACAGAGTGTTTGCCAGAACTACTAAGAACAGTGGGATTTATAGCTACTCGGCTTTCGAAACTCTCCTGATGCTTTTTGAGCGCGGCACTGCTGAACGAGAAATGAGAGAGAAAGAAAGACCTCCATGCTCGCTGAACTGTGGATTCGACAGGATCATCTTGGCGCATCGCAAGCCATTCTTGTACTGCTTGTGCTCGTAATGCTTCTGAAAAACATCACTATGCAGGCTTCTCTAGCTTACCATCCGCAAAACAGCACTGGAGAACCGTCAAGTGGAGTAAGTTCGCCCAGTTTCTTCTTGGCGGACCTATCCTTGCTCCTCTGCCATATCTCCCCGGAGCTCGACAGTGCCAAGCCTGTCCTAGATACTTGGCACCAGAAAGCGATAAAACGATCTGGCAAGCTCGTGCACTGGCAAAAGCCACCAAATCTTAGAGGGAACTTTTTTGCGTCCTGATATCGACTGCTTCCCTTCCCTTCTCCCGCGCCCATCTCCGCCAACACGACTTCCTCTCCTCAAGCTCACAGTGATCGCGTTAAATTTACAACAAGGCTAGACCAGCTTCTATTCCCATTGTTTTCGTATTAGGCAGAAAAGCGTATTAGAGATTTGTCTCTTTCGAGCAATTTTCTGGTCTCTTTTATGTCTGGCATTTGACGTTCGGCTTGAAAAGCTCAAAGGCAAAACTGTGCGTCCCTGCTCATCGGCACAGGCCGGGATGTGGACCTTCACATGATTTTTTTGATCTGACCCACACATGATCGAGATCTCACTTCCCATTACGTTTCGTCATGCAGCTAAAAAAGCACACGTATGTAAGCACACACACGCTCACACACACACACACACGCACACACACACACACACACACAGACACATACATACATGCACAGATACAGGAACACGCATACACACATCACAGTTATGCACATGAACGCGTATGCACATATACATGCATACATACATACATACACACACACATTACGTGCGTCGATATAAACACACATGCACACCCATAATCTTAGATAAAGATGCATCAGGCATGCCGATGCGATCATGCATTTCTGCACGATTCCGCCCGGTGAAGGGACTGCATGGACATGACTGCGCTCTTGCAACCTGAACATTTGATAATCCACTAGTACGCGCTTAGACACAAGCTCATCTTATGCCTGGTGGCTCTCACATGAACAGCAAACATCCTCCGAAAAATACTGCATCCTGCTCAGTCTGGTTGCCTGGTTGATTGGATATCAAAAATGTCCGAAAATAAAATCCCGCGCTGAACCCAGGCGTGCCTTAAGGCTGGGTTGAGAATATCAGGTCAGAATATCCTTGCAAAGTTTTAGCTCCCTAACTCGACTGATTGGTGAAATCGCTCTGGGTTACACATGTCTTTAACGTGTACAAAGGCGTACGCCAACGCTCATTTCACGCCTACATGCCCAAATATGGAAAACAAATATTCCCCTAGCGATACAGCGCTCTAT